CCCCCCCCGGGTCTCCCCGGGCAGTGAGTGGAAGAGGGGCCGAGAGTCCCCAGAGCCACGACCAGCCCAGATGTCCCACCGCTACCGGGGCTAGTTCCCATTCCCGCGTCCACTCCTGGGGAGGACTTGGGGCCCTTTTACTCGTCCCTCCTCCCCCTAGAGTGGCCTCCTCCCGGGCTGGCGGTACGGCCTGTTCCCGAGACAAGTCAGGAAGCGATAGGGGCCGGGGGCTGCTAGGTCACCTCCGCCCGGGGGGACCTCCCCAGGCCAGATAACCGAGGCCCGCCGGCCGGCCCGGGATATGGGCCTCCTCCGCACAGTGCTGGCCTGGGAGTGACAGGCCCACCCAGCCTCTGCCCGCGTTCTCGCTTAAGGCTTATTGTTAACCCGAGGGTCTGGGACCCCTTTAAGGACACTGATAAGGTGGGGTGTGGAGGGGAGGCTAAGGCCGGCCGGCCGGGAGCCTGATGCTGGCCCTGGCCTGGGGTCTGGCCCGGAAAGAGAGGGAAGAGAGGGGATAAGAGGCCGCCTGGGTCGCCAGGCGCTGGAGGGTTAACCCTGTGGACTCTGCAAACTGCCAAGAAGGGACCAGGCAGGATCAGCGGGAAATCCTGCCCTGTGCAGTGCCCTGCTAGGCTAGCCAGGCCAGGCCTGTCCCCTGTCCAGCTGGCAGCCATGCTGCTCCAGAGGGCTGGTGGGGTGGCTTGGAGGGAAGCTGAACCACACAGCAGCCAATGCTCAAGCAGAACTTTAATAAAGCTCCTAGTGTGTGCATGCTCCTGTCATGCCCAAACTCAGGGCAGTGGATTGGAATATGACTGAAGAGGGACCGGGTTCACTGAAGGCCAGGGGATTCGGGGATTCGCGGATTCGCGGCGAGCCTATTGAGAGCCAGGTCTCTTGGTGCCAAGCTGTTCATGGTGGTTTCTGCCCTTGATACCCTGGGGGAGGCCCCTGGGCACCCTTCCCTCGGACCCTCCCTATCCCATGCAAGGGGGAGGAAGGCTGGCCTGTAGGTCATAGCACCCACTGCACGCTTTGAGCTCTAGAAGCCAAAAGCAGCACCACAGGGAACTTGTCTGGAGGGAGACAGCCCCGGGGTAAGTGCTGGGAGGACAGAGGTTAGGCGGGTAGCCAGGGCAGGAGTGTGGGTGTGCATTACGAGGCTGAGGCCACAGGGTTATCAAGGGTCAGGTGAGGGTGTGGAAGCCCTGGAGGGAGAGTTCCAGGCAGCAGGAACAGCCACTACAAAAGCCCTGAAGCAGGCACGTGCCTGCTGTGCTCAAGAAGAGTGTGGAAGGGAAACCAGCAGTTAGCGTAATAGCTATGTCGCTGGACTCCCACGTAGTCAACCGTGGTTCGCGTCCCAGACCCGGTGGCTTAAAACTCATGCCGGGCACGTGTGCATGCGTTCCCGAGAGGAGAATGGAGGAGAAGGGATTGTGGCGTGACCATCTTCCCTGGGGGGTGATTTCTCGCTTTCTGTCTCTATGTCTCTCTCCGTCTGTCTGGCGAGCGCTATAGCGAAAACCTCTCCAAAAAAAAAAAAAAAAAAAAGAGTGTGGAAGGGGTCAACTGCTGATTTGTTGGTTAAGGCAACCAAATCCCACATGGGGCTGCACGGTTCGATTCCCAGGTCCAGCAGCTTAAAAAGAACACCTGGTGGGACGAGATGGTATCATGGTACTGGACTCTCACATAGTCAACCATGGTTCAAGACCAGGGGCCGGCGGCTTAAAATTCATGCCAAGTATGCGTGCGTGTGTGCGTACCCAGAATCCCAAGAGGACAATGGAGAAGGGATTGCAGCATGGCCATTCCCCCTGGGGGGTGATCTTGCTTTCTGTCTCTCTGGTGAGCACATACACCCTATAGCAAAAATCTCTATAAAAATAAACGAACACTCACATGTGCGAGTGTGCCCAAAATCCTGAGAGGAGGGTGGAGAAGGGATTGCAGCGCGGCCATCCGCGGGGGGTGATTTCTTACCACCAGCCCTTGCCCCCCCGTCTCTGGCAAGCGCATGTGCCTTACAGCAAACTTAGAAAAAGAGAAGTGGGGCTGGGCCATCGTGAAGGGAGGTGGGGGACAAGGTTAGAGATCCGCAGAACAAGCAGGGCCTGTGGGGTGTGCTTCTTTTGAGGGACAAGGGAGCTATGGAGTGATGGGTTGATTTTAGGCCAGACTGCGTGAGAGGGAGTGCACTCCCTGATGGGACGAGATCCTTTAGCCTCTATATCTCTATCCCGTCAGGCTCCTAGGCAGTCACATTTGTGCCTGGCTGCACTATCTATTCCTCGTGAGAGATACACAGAGACAGAGACACAACACAGCACCCCTCACAGGGGCCAGATCCGGTGGTCCTTCCCCAGCCTCAACGCATCATGGACAGGCGTGCATCCTGGCATATTCAGGGAGGTCTCTGGACTTGAACCAGGAACTCTTCCATATGCATCAGTCTCACAGATCATTTAACTGCTGTGCCCGTCGACTGCCTCATGAATTCAGCCCAGGGGCGGTTGGCTCAGGTCTTACCAGGTCTCTGCTGGATCTCTTTGGTGCTGCTGAGAAAGCTGCTGATGTGAGCTGGGGAGAGGCCAGAGCCCCACGGGGAAGCCGATGGAGCAGGGCGGGGCTTGGGGGCTGACTGGCTCCTGGCTGTATTCTGAGAGCTGATGGCTCTTGCAGGAGAGCTGGGTGTGAGTGTGAGGACGGAGCCAATGACAACTCCTAGATTCCCAGATTTGGGGCTGAGCACTGGGAGGATGCAGCTGGAATATCTGGGGTCAGGTGTGGATGCTAAATAATTCTCAAAATTACCTGGCAAATTATACTTCGGTGTGTTTTCACTTTAGGGAAACTGAGGCTGCAAGGGCAAGGAGGAGTGGTAGCAGCCCTGCCGGACTCACTCCCTCCTGTACCTTGCCCTTCAGCACTCGCCACAGCAAGGGTAAGGGTCAGAGGGAACCTGATGGGCGTGACTAACCTGCCGTTGGTCAGGTGGGATGGGTAAGCTCCGGGTCTCTATTGCACCATTTGTAAAATGGAACAATAGTAGTGGAGATGTCAGTGTTGAGAATAATAGCATGACTCAGCTCAGATTGGTATGGCCCCAGGACAGAGCGAATGCCCACTAGGCTCTGGGAAGGAGGGGCTCGTGGCCGGGCTCACTCCTCCCTCTCTCCTCATGAGCTGTGGTCTGATCAGAGGCCCATTCTGGACCACAGGCCCCGATAATCTGATTGAGGACTTGTGGCAGCTGTGCTGTAGACCTCACTGGTGGGGCCAGACCCCCAGCCCAAGGCATAGAGGGCCTTAGCTTAGACTCTTCCTGTTTTGTGGCAGCCCAGGTCCCATGGGCCATCTCTGGGAAAGCCTTAGGCTCTTTGAGGCCTTCCATGTCCTTAGGATGAAGGGAAACTGCTGGAAGAAGAGGTTTGGGTGTGGGTGCCAAACCCACAGGCACACCCAGAGGGCGCCTCTGCGCAGAACGCTGTGGCTCCCATGCGGGCTCTGGGCCTGTGCACAGGGCAGGTTTACACCCACTGCTTGTGAGCAGCCCTGCATGACCTTGGCTGCAGCTCGAGGTCAGGTGATAGTCGTGGTCTGTAAGCAAAACCCTCGTGGGCAGGCTGTGGGACTGGTGCCAGGCAGCCTTGGGAGCCTGGGGCACTGGTTGGGTCCCCTTGCTAGGCTCAGCTGAGCCTCTGAGCACAGCCATGATAGGCCTCAACCTGCTGTCCAGATGAGGGTCTGACCCTGGCACCTGTTGGTCAGCTCCCGTCTGGCTGTGGGGCAGGTGTCCCCACAGCTGCCTCCTGGGGAATGTGGGTAGGCCTGCTTCCCACCTTGCTCACCTGTGCTGGCAGCAGGAGTGGGGACGGAAGGGGCAGTGGGAGCCTGTCCTCAGCTCCAGGCCCCTTCCTCCCTGTGGCCTGTCCACATGTGCGGTGTAGATCACAATCAGTCTCCCCAGTTGGGAGGCCTGTGCAGGTGGCCCGGGGCTGTGGTAAAAG